ACATTTAATCTCTCTTTTTTTCTATATAATTGTCTCTAAGTTCCTCTCTCATAGTCTAGAAATTAGTACAAAATCTAACTCCCCCGCGTGTGGTCTATACGAAACCCGATATGCGCATAGATAGCTTTCACATGCGCCCATCGCGACAATATTTTACATGTGGTGCCATTCTCCGCCAGAAGCGGACAGTTTTCCAAATGTCCATGGTCCTTGTAAACTCCCATCTTCCTCATAAAGACCAGGTACCGGGCTAATTGGTAGAACATACCTGTGCATCCAACAAGGGAGTGTGTGGAGGAGAGTGGCAGCATGTGCCCGAGGCGGACCGCGCGCGGAGCCGGCGGAGTGCGAGAAGCCCAGCTCGGGGCCGCCTCCCGGACCCATCCCCCTTCGCGAGGTGCCCGCTCCCCTCGCCCCGAGCGCTGCTCCGGGCCTGGGGCGCCTTGCGTGCCGGAGAGATGCGCGCGGGACTCGGGGCTCCCGGGGTCCCGGCGTGGGTGCAGCCGAGTCCCGGCGCGCCCGGAGGCGGCGGCGGCTGTTGTCGAGGCTGCGGGAGGATGTCGGAGGGGAGAGCGACCACATCCTGCCTTCCCGGCCCCCGAGCCGAAGCGGGACCTGCTCGGTCCCCGCTGCCCGCCCGCCGGTGTGCTCCTCGCCCACCGCCCCGGGGACGCGAGCGGCGGTCCCTCGGCAGGAAAACCGAGGGCGGCGATCGCTGCTCAGCGTCCGAGGAGCGCTGCCTCCCTCTCTCCCGCCCGCCGCCGGGCCGGGCCGCCGGGACCCGGTTGGCTGGGGCCGCCCCCTCGCCCCGGCCGCAGGTTCATTGTTTACCTTCCGCGGCGGCCGCGGGGTGTGTTTACACGTCGGGAGCTGCGGGCGTGTTTACACCTCGGGAGCTGCGTTTCAGGACCGCATCCCGCGTCCGGCCCGCGCCTCTGCGTCCGGTCCCCGCAGCGAGAGCGGCGGACAGGGTCCCGCCGGAGGGCTTCGCAGCTGCGGGCGCGGTTTCTCTGCCGCCGCCGCGGTGAGCAGGGTTTGGTGTCCTCGCCGAGAAGTTCATGTCACACCGGCCCGAGCGTTCTTAGAGCGCAGCCTGGTTCACCTGCAGAATCGGCTCCGCTTCTGAGATCTGAGAAACACGCCGGGAAGTTAAAAAACGGCCGTAAACACTCTGTATAACATTTTACAAAACCACTTTTAACCTGTGTTGCACTGACAGACTGTTACCCGCAGTATTAGACGCGGGCTCATTGTTGGGGCTCGTCACTAATTGAAAGCATAGTGCATTTCTAATTTGTTTTTTTGTCTATCATAATGTAAGATGACTGTTTTATACACCAAGAGGCCACTTTTTAAATTTAGCTACCAGAGTACATTCTTGTAACAATAGTTTATTCTGAAAGTCGAGGGACTTCATATATGTGGGAAAAGATGTTTTAGTCAATTTCCTAATAACATAAGCAAAATTCCTACAGGGCTCAAAATTAGCGTTTAGTTCTGTAACAGATGTCGTTTATTAGTGATTTAATTTATATAAATCACTAATTTGTATGTTTTAGGTAGAGGTGAAAAGATCATTTATTAGATTTTGTGTCTTAAAAACCTGCCTGGATGTGGTGCTAGAAATAAGTTACAGTTATGCTTTTATTGAGTTTGCTGAGTTCCTATATATGGTGGTTTCTCTGGCAGGTGTCAAAGTTTTGGGTTGTAAAAGAGATGTTTGGTTTGATATCTTTGGTTTACTTCAGTTTTACTCATATATACAGATAATGCTGTACATTTACTATTTAAAATACTATGTTTCCTGAACATTTAGTAAACACTTATGTTCATAGGGGTTTCTAGGGAATACAGTAAGTGCAGAAAATGCTATTTCTGCTCGCTCTGACAAAATGTACTTAAGTTTGTAAAGAAAATATACACAGCCTATTGAAACTGATTGCAAAAGCAATATACAGCTAACAGTGAGAGATTATATGAGAACGGTATTCCTGAATCCTAGGAAAGTTTAGAATAAAAAAAAGTAATCTGAGATTCATTATATAGTGACACTATTGTTTAAGAAATTGCTATTGTGACAAACATTTCATTGTTAACCAGAAGGCTTGTGGATCTAACATGAAGAAAATTTATGAGGAATTACACTTTAGTAATATTTTGAGAACTGTGGGACACTGGATTGCAGCTGAAGGGCAGCTGTTTGTGGTTGGATTACAGTGTGTTTAGATAAAGTTTAGGTAACCAAAAAATATGTATTTATAATGGTGAGGCAATGTTTGCTCTCATTCTGATTTTTTTAATGTAACCTTTGAGCAAGTCATTGTGTGGCTCTCTAACAAAGTTCATTATAAAATAAAGGTCATGGTCATTGTAATTCCTTTAGGAAAAGAGAGCAGACTGTACAGTCAGATAGTTCTGGGTTGTAATCTCAGCTGTGATACTTAATAGTTAGGTGATTTGGGGCAAGTTATTTGACCTTACTTAACACTTGGTTTCTTCATCTCAGAAAAAAAAGATAAAATTTCAAAGACTTATTAGAATGTGAGAAGTAAAATACTAGTGCTTAATTAGAGTACTCAGCACAGGACCTGATACTTTGTGAGTAATGTTCACTTAATGTTAGTTGCCCTCCTACTTTGTGAAATCAAAATTATTCATACCACATTTAAAATATTTAAAATGATTGTTTTGAATATTACAAACTTGCTAATATGGAATTAGGGTATTGAAGTTCTTTTTTGTTTTAATATATTTTTATTGATTTCAGAGAGGAAGGGGGAGGGAGAGAGAAACAGCAATGATGAGAGAGAATCATTGATCAGCTGCCTCCTGCACGCCCCACACTGGGGATCGAGCCCTCAACCTGGGCATGTGCCCTGACCAGGAATCAAACCATGACCTCCTGGTTCATAGGTCGATGCTCAACCATTGAGCCATGCCAGATGAGCCTTTTTTTTTTGAGTCATTAAATTAGATATAAATGAAGTAGAGTTCTTGAATATAACAACTGTAAAAAAGTAATATGAGATTACCAGTAAATTAGTATAAGCAAAGAGCAATCTATTAAAGAACTTAAGGTAAAATATGATATTTAATTTATAGAACCTTAGAATTTTTCTCCCTGACTCTAGAAAATTTCCTAGTAATAATAACTTGGCTAGTCTTGCAAGCTTCTTGAGGCATAGGAGAGTTTTAAGATTCTTTTAAAAGATGTTGATAGATTAATTTTATTCTAGTTTAGGAACTTCATTGCAGTAGATCTTACGGGCAACTTACTGTTTAATTGTTGCTTTCAGTTTTGTCTGGACAGCTACCCTGCTTAATTTTTGAAAATCCCTGATATTTGCTATAGATATCATTAAATAGTCTCAGTTTTGCATGCCAAAATCTATTTTAAAACCCTTATGCTTCCCTTAGCTACTTCTTCTGCAAGTATAGTCTATTTTTTGTCAATGCAGTTGTGCATCTCTTCCTGGTACTGAAAAGACTAAGAGTATTTTTCCTGTGTAAGCCTTCCCTAGTATAATTTAATTATCATATTCACAGTGAATTCTGAGGACATGGACACACTTATATTCAAATGTAATTATGAGAATATAATTTATTTAAAAGTATTAAGGTTTTTTTTGTTTATCCAACTCTTTTACCTTTCCATTAGTAAAAATAAAAAAATTATTTTAATTGGTGTTTAATAATTAGAAAAGTAGGAAGGTTTTTTGAATGATGATTTGAGCAATCACTTTTTGTTTTCTGATTTCTTCTAGTTAGAAGCTTACTCATGTTGTTTAATTACTCACTTCAGTTAGACAAAACAAACATTGACTGAATGCCTATTATATACTAAATGCTGAAATAAGTGCCAGAGGAATAAAGATGAGGAAGATGGTACTCCCTTTTTAGGAGTTTACTGGAACAGACATAAAGAAGTGTTTACAATATGGAACAATAAATTAAGTAATCAAACTGTTTCAGGAACAGAAGTAGCCCAGAGGAGAGAATGATTAACAATCTGGTTGGTCGAGGATCAGAGAAGGCTTCACAGAGGGGTTGGCTTTTTGTGAGAACAGTCACGGACAAAGTGGAAGGAAACGTGGGCTCTCTACACCTTGGAAAAGTAAAGTCGAAAGTCTGTAGGAAGAGGAACTGCCTAGGAGACCACTGTTACCATCTGAGAGATGATGGGGGACTGAGCCAGGACTGTTGGAGACATAAATGAAGTTGAATATATATTGGAATGGAGAATCACCGAATTTATTCTTCAGGTTCCAGATTGACTTTGTAATCCTCCTACTCTGTGCAGAGAACTTTTACTTCTTTGTGACAGGCGGGGATACTAACCACTATACTAACGAGGAGCTGTTTACTTCTTTGTTATGAAGGTCGAAGCTGTCTGATATGTGTCCCCTTGTCTTCCCTTTATATTTCATTTCACCCATAGTTCTGTCTCTCTGAGTCAGAAGAAAGCATCTTTACTTTATGCTTCTAATAATTTGTAATATTCTCTGTAGAACTAAGATTTCTTGCTTCTTTATGTCTGCCTTCCTATTGGCTTAGTTTTCTCATGTTCAGCAACGTTTTTGTATCTTTCACATGGGTCAGGTACTACACTGGGTGTGGGATGATGTTGAGAGATGTGAAAGATAAATACAAAGATTACAAAACAGTTACTTTTCTGTGGGTTCTGTAGACAGAATAGTTTATTCTCATTCCATAGCTTTCTTCCTTAACCACTATAGAATGTTCCCCATTCTATTATTAGTAGTACTGTATTAAATTATTATCTCACTTAATCTTCAACAGCCTTTTGAGGTACTCTTATTATTCCTATTTTACAGTTGAGGATATGGGTTTTGAAATTCTAAAGGACTGAACTCAGAAAGGTAATTCAGCCAGGGTCACAGGGCTAGTAAGTAACTAATGTATCATGCACTGTAGCCACTATATTTTCCTTGCTTGACTTTTGTAAAATATTCTCTTGATTCTTACCTTTTATGCTGTTGCTTCTCTTGACTAGCTGGTCTTCCAACTTTTCAAGCAAGCGAGCCCTAAGGTTCTTCTGTTCTTGGTCTTTTCCTCTCTATTACTGGTGCTGTCTCCCTGAGCAGCCTTTTCACTCATGACTTCAAAATTCCATAAATTGAGATCATTGTGATAACTACACTTTTATTCAGACTTTTTCTTCTAACTTGCAAAACATTATCATTTGTGTCTGGTACTCATCTCAGAGTCCTGATGTGTGAAACGTTGCACCCCATAGCATACCTCTTTTCACTTGCTAGGTACCACCACCATCCTCTGTTACTCAAGATAGTGGCCTAGTGTTCTTCTTTGTTCAGTTGGGAAGTTCCTCCAATTTGCCTCTGAGCTATCTACTGCATCCAATCTCTCCTATTCCCTTGTCGTTGATCTAGTTCCCCTCCTCATTATTTCATTTGGATGATAGTAAAATCATCTTTCTCTTACCTGTTTTTAATTATTCTGCTGTACAATTGCCAAGATTATTTCCCTGAAATCTAGATCCGATTCCCTTAAAAAACAAAACAAAACACATACACACAATCTCCCATTTAAACTTCTCAGGCCCATTTTTACTCACTGAATAGAATCTGAATTTCTTAGCTTGGCATTGAAGGCCTTTGATGATTTATTTCAAAATGTTCTTCTGTACCGTCTTAACCATACTGTTCTCAATCTGTCTACCTCTCTGTATAGTTGCACTTATGGAATACACTCCCTCCCTTCTTTATACACAGTGCTTCCCGAAGGTTTAGGGAGATTTGCTAGTAGCACCAACCTCTCCTTTCCTCATTCTTCCTCTTGAAGATTCTGTTATGCCTTAGTTGAGGATCATTGCTTTAGTCAAAGATGACTTAATCTTTGCACATGGCATGCAGTTTCTCTTTACTTGACCTTGCATAGGTTGTTTCCTCTGCCTAGAAGTCCATTTGCAGCACTATTTATCAAACTCCTAGTTTAAGGTCTAGGTCACATGCCACTTCTGGAAATCCTTCCTAGTCATCCCAGTGGGAATTTATGCTTCCCATATCTCTGATTGTTCCTTTCTAAATATCACTTACCATTGTCATATTTAAGTTCTTTGTCCAGTTCTTTTTCTTTCACTGGACATCACACTTCTTCCCCAGCATCTATCATATGATAATAACTGAAGCATTAATTAAATGGAAGAATGGAGAGAAGAGAAAAGGAGCAGGAGTAGTATGTACTGTATTGAGGAGATCAGATGTGAAAGAGCATTTTAAGTTTGCAGTCCTGAGGGACAGTGAAATGGATGGTGCCATGAAAGGAGAAATCATTTTGGGAAGTATGATAATGAGTCCCTTGCTCTTGAATTTAAGGTGATTGACTCTGTCAGAGATGTGTGAGAGCTAGCAGCAGATACTGAAATGGAGGTTTTAGTAGTAGTTCTGAACTTGTGATCTGGTGGTTCCCTGCATAGGGCTTTGAGAACATGAAGAATGTAAATGGAGAAAGAGCTGAACATTGGAGTGTTAGAGGATAAACTGATGAAAGTGTATGCCATGGTGGACGGGTCAGTACGAAGAAAGGGTTCAACAGAAGAGAAGAAAATTACAAGATCTCTGAAGCCAAGAGGAGAATTTTGGGTTTAAGGGACAGAGAGAGTCTAGCATTGCAGTTGGGGTTAGGAGAACTGAGTTATGCTCTTCCTTAATCTGAGGATGACTGAGTTGTTTACTTAACCTCTCTGGGTATCAGTTTCCTAATCTCTAAAATGCATACCACTCTACATTTGTAGCACTTTCGCTTTCTGTCTTTGTGATTCTCAGATATCACTATGTTTCTGGGATATTGAAAGGTTAAAGAGAAAGCATTTATAGCCCTGTTAAGTCACTGTGAGAGGTATTCCTATAAACTAATGAATACTAGTACATGTAGGAGTGATGCTATTTCATAGCACTTTAAATGTAAATTATAGTCAACTCTCAATTTCCTTTTAAGTGATCATCTGCAGTGACTTGCTGCCTCCTCCCTCCCAGGTCTCAGGCTACTGAAAATAGGGCTGTGAAAAGCACTGTGGGGTGAGTGAATGGTTTGCATGCTTGTGTATCTGTACCACTGACTATCACCAAGCTAAATACAGTCCACTCTCAGTTACCTGCACATAATAAAAAGGTGAATAATGGTGGAAGAGTGCTAAATGTATATTCTAAAAAGCATTACTTATATGCGCCTTGGGAATCTTTTATATTCTTTCGTCTCCTACAGTAAATTGATGTATTTTTTATTTGAATTAATAGCATCAATTTTTATTTATTAAACAAATACTATTAAATAGTGGAAGTAAACAGACTGAAATATTTATTAGGTAAACTACATATGAATAATTGAGAGTTGGCTGTGCTTTTGGATCATCCATTGTTTTGTATTACCTGTGCTTTTTTGTTAGTGTGGCCAGGTTAAAGCTAAATAGCTACTTTAAAATTATATCTGTATGATGAGTGTACTCATAAAATTATGCCGATGCCAAACTAAATTGAAAATAATTATTCAAAACTAGCTAAATATAATATTCGTATGTTCAAAGTCATAGGGTTGAAAGAAAACCTAAACCAAAGTACATTCTTGAAATTCTTTTTACAAAGTCATGTAGCCAGACAGATTGCATAAACTGAACAATGTACCTGGTAATGATGCCTTTTATATAAAATATAATAAAATATATTTTATAAAATATTAAATATCAAACAATATTTTTAAGGAGTCAGTTGGGTATAGTAAGAAATATAGAAAGGAATTTTAACCTTAATTACTTGAATTAATAATCTGATTCCTTCAATTACTTTACCTTTTTTTTTACCCTAATATGTTGAAGAATTTGGATTTGTAGTGGTTTGTTAAAGTCAGTCAAAATATTTTTGATGAATATATAATACTAGAGGCCTGATGCACGAAATTTCTTTAAGGGGCTCAGCCCCCGCCCCAGCGCTGCAGCTGCCTCAGCCCTCACAGCCCTGCTTCATCCAAAAGGCCTTCTGGTCTAATTAGCATATTATGCTTTTATCATTATAAATAATTCGGTTAGTAAGTGTTATTGTAAATGAGGAGGGCATAATTTTTGGCATTAAGGAGTTTATATTATAGTTGGGATATTCCTGAATCAGGGCATAGTTTAAGACAGTAGTATTTGAAGCACCTGCCAATTATCTTTATAAAGGAATCAAAAGCTGGAGAAATTCAGACAAAAATGGGAGATAGGTAAGGAATGATAGAGTGAAGACCTCATAGAAGGTTGACACCTGTAAGACCTTTGCATAAAAGGTCTTGAATAGTGAGAGTTCTGGATCAGTGTTTAAAACATCACAGCTTAATTTGTGAACTAACATATTCTGGCATATTATTCAGTATTTGAAGAAAAGATATTGAGAAAATGTTGATGAGTTTTGCATGTAAATCTCTTAACTACTGAAGACTATGTTTTAAACTAGAGTTCTTCTGATCTTTGAAGGCAGTGCTGGACTGAGAGATTTTAGGCATATTGTGCAGTAATTGTGTGCTTTTGATTATGAGTATATAAATGCTTGGCTGCATTCCAAACCCAAGCATAAATGATTTTTTTCTTCCATTGTTTTGTAGTATATGTGTCTACTCTCCTTTCATTAATACTGCATGCTCAAAAGGCTCTACATTTGTTGTCAAACTTATTTCTAGACTAGAGGCCCAGTGCACAAATTTGTGTATGGGTGGGGTCCGGCCTGCTCCGATTAGGGCCGATGGGGGCCAACCAGGGGGAGGGGCCACGGGAAGTTGGCCGGCCGGTCCTGCACCCGATTGGGCCAGTTGGCCGGCCGCAGTGGGAGTCATAGCGACCTGTTGTTCCCGTCATTCCGCTGGCTTGGCTTTTATATAGATAGATGTATGCAGAGATTACAAGAGGGATTTTTTGTTATTTTTACACTAAAATGATTGTATTTTCTGATCTCAAAATTCAAGCATGTGACCTGATAGTGTTATAAAATACTTTAAGATTATCTTGAGTAAACATGGAATATTTCATTGCCAAATCTAGACACCTTACCCAGCCCTCTAGTTATTTGGATAAAAGATAAACAGTGTTTGGGAAGTTATTGCTCTCAAAGTAGCAAAATGAGAGTTGAATTGCCACTTGCAGGGATTTTAGTAAACTTGTTCACAGTCCAGTGTAATTTCATGTATTTCTTATAAAAAGTAGAGTGAAAAGCCTCAAAAACTAGTAAAGAAGATTTTCAAGTAATTTACTTTTAATGACTAAGAAGGAGCAGCTTGCCAGATAAAAGTATATTTAACTGTTTTTAGATGTGTGCACATAATATTTTTATCAGTAGTTTCTGACTCTGAGAAATCACATCTTAAGATAATATTGCTAATTATTTCCATGCTTAATGTTCATCCCTCAGATACTAAAAGTTTTAATTGCCGTTTTCTTTTCTATTCATAATTCTGTATAATACACTCCCTAACCTTCACTACTCCACCATTACCACCAGCACTCTCCCCCAAGGAAAAAAAAAAAAAAGAAAAAACCCGAGGGGAATTGAGTTGCAGAAAGAGTGAGAAGACTCCAATGGTTGGAGGTAGGTGAGCTGTAAACTAATGTTTCGCTACATGGCAGTTTCTGTGTGTGGCTAGGTGGCAAGTGGAATATTGTGGAACTTTTTCTTCAGCACAGGTAGATAAGTTTTTAATCATATCTGTCACATGTGATATTAGTAGACAGTAACAATAATGGGATATTTGAATACAAATAACTATTTCCTACTTTGTTTATTTAAAACGATGTGGTTTTATATTATTACTTAGGTTGTAATTTCTAGTGTTATGTTTGAATGGCATACTTAATGTGGTACTAAGCAGGTCAGATTTCATGTGTCATCTATATAATAAAAGCCTAAGTGACCGTTAAGGTGGAATGACCAGAATGACCGGTTGCTATGACGCGCACTGACCACCAGGGAGCAAACACTCAACACAGGAGCTGCCCCTGGTGGTCAGTGCGCTCCCACGGGGGAGCACCGCTCAGCCAAAAGCCAGGCTCATGGCTGGTGAGTGCAGTGGCGGTGGCAGCGCTAAGGAGCAGCCAGCTGAGCAGTAAGGAGCGAACAGGCGGGCTGGAGGAAGGGAGCGAGGGATCCAGGACTGCGAGAGGGAGCAGGCCAGACTGTGGGACCACCCCACCCCCAGTGCATGAGTTTCGTGTACCAGGCTTCTAATATAAGAATAATTTTTAACATAAGATTTTTATAACTTTAATGAGTTAAATTTTAGATTGGCCTAGTCTTAAAAATGTTTAAATCACTTGGTATATTTTAATAACCTTAAAATAGCCTTTTTTTTCCCCTTTGGGGAGAATTTAGTATGTGTTCATGTTTCAGCATTGTTTTGAATACATAAATGTATATTATTGTTTTACTTAGCAAAATAAAAGAAATATTAAAAGATGCTGGATATTTTTCAAAAGGAAATGAAAAGATTAAGACATTTGGATAAATTGTTGCAGTTGTCTTTTGCTGATTTGAAATTCCTTTTACAAAGTCATGTAGCTGATTTTTCTAATAGTTTTTTTTGTTTATATTAAAAGCTTAGACTTTATGAGTTCTAGGAAAACTTTTTTTTTTTTTAAATATATTTTATTGATTTTTTACAGAGAGGAAGGGAGAGAGAGATAGAGAGTTAGAAACATCGATGAGAGAGAAACATCGACCAGTTGCCTCCTGCACATCTCCTACTGGGGATGTGCCCGCAATCCAGGTACATGCCCTTGACAGGAATCGAACCTGGGATCTTTCAGTCCGCAGGCCGACGCTCTATCCACTGAGCCAAACCGGTTTCAGCTCTAGGAAAACTTTTTGACTTACTTCAATAATTATGTCTACGTTGTAAAGTACCATAGGAAAGTGTAATTGTTTTAAAAACAAGTAATTATATGCCACTAAATATTCACCTGGGGTATTTGAATATGAGTGTATTGGGAGATACACGGTTATCTGTAAATATTGTCTATTTTTAAGCATATTTGGAAGCTACTTTAGAAATTATTTTATTAGTGCTCTTATTCAAAACAGGAATGTTCTCTATAGTATCTGACATGTCATTCATTATCACTCAGACCTTTCACTGATAAGTAGCTTATTCAAAAGGGTTTGTTTCTTTGAACAGCTATGTTTGTTAGTAAAATTCTCATATCAAGTTAACCAAAAATTTAATAAAAGAATTTTTCAGTAATTGGTTCTAGTTCTAGTTCTTCCCTTTGAAACAGTGCTTTTATTCTTTTATTTTAGAAGTGTTTACCAATAAAAAGTAGAACTGAGGGGAAATAGAGTTGCAGTAGTTGTAATTTGTACACTGTGTATGCTATTAAGGACAGACTCTTACCCTTTTACTCTCATTTTATAGGCTGATCACCAAGTATTTATTGAGAACCATCAGTGTGTCTGGTGGTGTTCTAGTTTATATGGTCTTTTATTACAAAAAAAGCAGCAGCAGCTACCATATTTTGAGCCTTATATGTTGGGTACTGAGTTAAAAACATTACTTAAATTACCTAATTTAATCTTCCTACATACCAAGGAAATACATATTAATATCCCTATGAAGGAAATGGGGCCCAGAGGCAGCCTAACTAGCCCAGGTCATTTGGCAGTAGTAAGAAAGGTAGGATTCATATCCTATTTATTGTTTTTGGTTCCAAATCTCATGTACTTAATCCTTTACAGTCTTTCTAAAAAGAAGTCAGATAGCCCATGATGCTGGAATAATTAGTAGCTAAATGAGTATTCTATATATTGTAGGACTTTATTTGCAGTACTCAGGAAGCAAGTTACTGGCTGAGCTTTTAAACATTTTAGATACAATTATTTCTAGAACTATTACATCTTTCATTTCTTAAGAAGAAAATATCAATTATATTTTAACTTTTTGGCTAGGGTCATCATCATTAATTATGTGTTTATTAATACCTTATGTAACTTTGGATTGCTCTTTTAATCTTATGTGCTATTTCATTGTTCTCAGCTATCATTTACATTGCAATTATTGTTTTTATATTTAGCAGTCTTTTAATTCCTTATTTTTTACTTTCACTGTGTTATACAATGAAAACGATGTACCTGGCCTTGTTAATCTGAATGGAAAATAAAGAGAAATAGGTTGTCATTATAAGGATTTAAGGGTGGGGGGAGTGCTACTGTCAATAATATATATGAACTGTAATGAATAAAATTGGTGATGATACACTGTTTCAGTTTTTATTGCCATCTCTTGGAGTGCTTGTTTTTACATTCTGGCTGTTTTTCAGATAGGTAATTACCTCAGCATAATTCAAGGAAGGTGAGATGGGACTTGATAGAGTTGGTATATTTTTATACAATATGGGTAGTGAGATAATATAAAAGTAGATAATAAGGTACAAAATATGACTAATATGGACAAAATAACATGTAATAACATGTTAATGGCATGATACAGAGACAGTCTAGCACTGGAGCCTTATAAGAGCATGGGCTTTGGAGCCAGATGGACCTGCTTCTTAGAAGTTTTTGAATTCAGACAAGTTTCCTTTTCTGAGACTATTTTCTCATCTCTATTGGAGATAACACTTATTTGAGGAGTAGTAAAATGTAAAGTATTTATTACAGTTTTGGCACATAGATAAAAAGAAGTAGATATCAGGCCAGAACCGGTTTGGCTTAGTGGATAGAGCGGCCTGTGGACTCAAGGGTCCCGGGTTCGATTCCGGTCAAGGGCATGTACCTTGGTTGCGGGCACATCCCGAGTAGGGGATGTGCAGGAGGCAGCTGATCGATGATTCTCTCTCATCGATGTTTCTAACTCTCTATCCCTCTCCCTTCCTCTCTGTAAAAAATCAATAAAATATATATATATTTTTAAAAGAAGTAGATATCAGGTGTTCTTTATGTGGTCAATGTAAAGCAAAGGGGATGAGGGAAGGGAGAGAGAAGCCTGAGTTGGAAAAAGTAAAAGAAAGGGGAGCATTGTTTCAACTTTGAATAATTAGGCTGTGGTTAAATCAGGAGGACTAGGGTATGAGCAAAGGCATGAAATATTTTACTGAGAGGAATAATAAGGATATATAATTTTAGCATTTATATTAGAGTTGCAGGACAGGAGTAAGTTATTGAGGGCCTTGAAAACTTTGTGGAGCTGTTAAACCCTCTTTTCTTTTTATATGTCAATGTACCTAATATAGTGAGAGAGCAGTGAATGTTATTTTTAAATATTTTTTTTAATTAAAAGAAAACATGGATCCAAAAATGTCTTTCATAAATGTACAGTTCTATGAATTTTGACAAATTGAACACATGGATAATCAGAATATTTCAATGCTCTGGAAACTGATTATCTCCTTCCAGGCACCACTTCTCCCACCAAGGGCACTGCTGCTACTCTGACTTCTAACAGGATAGATTAATTCTGCCTGTTTTTGAACTTCATGCTCATACAGGCTGTACTCTTTTATATATTACTTTATATGCTCAATATTATGTTATATCACTGTGTTATATGTAGAGTTAAAGTTAGGTATTTTAATCAAGTCTGCTTAGATGTATTAGGTGTGTTATGATGTGGATGGATTAGTTTCTTTTGGATGAGCAGTAGTTTTGTATAAGTGGATAGAGCTTAGAAAAATTACACTAATTCTAACTTTCTTTAAAAAATTTAAATCATTTTTTGAATATCTCTATCTTTTGCCTCTTCAGCTTAACCTTTTAATTTAATGGGTTTTAGCCAGTTAACACATCTAGATAGGTGAATTTTTTTCTTTAATTTTTTTCCTTAACCATTGTTTAGCGAAAAAGCATAAATAAACAGATCACTATAAAGAGTTCAAAGCTACAGGTTAGAAAGTTGGAAAAATTAGAAATCAAATCCAATAAAAGTTTTGTTGACCTAATTTAATTGGTTGAATAGTTACCAAAATTGGTTTAGTATTTCTACAGAGAAAAAGAGAGGATGATAAACATAACTTGGTCCTCACTTCAATAATATGTTCATCTATCTATATATATAAAAGCCTAAGTGACCAAATGACCGGTTGACCAGTCACTATGATGCGTACTGACCACCAGGGGCAGACGCTCAATGTAGGAGCTGCCCCCTGGTAGTCAGTGCACTCCCACAGCCAACCTCCTGCGGTTCCCCCCCTACCCCTCCCCCACCCCCAGCTGGCCAACCTCTCGTGGCCCCTTTCCCCGGGCGGCCGGCCCGGCCCCGATGGCCCTGATTGGAACCTCCTGCGGCCCCTCTCTCCGGCCTGCCAACCTCCCACGGCCCCAATCGGCCTGATCACCGGCCAGGCTGAGGGACCCCACCCGTGCACAAATTCATGCAGCGGGACTCTGGTGTGAATAATAATATGTTAATGAGGCAATATCAATGTGTTAATGTGTTAGATTTACAACAATGTAGTTTTAAAAGTATATCAGAGTTGAAAAGTTGTTAGAATACAAAACAGAGATGCTTCTCCTTGAAAGAACATATATGTTTAAATGTCTTTCTTAGGAGCTCAATAATAGGACATGCTACATTTTTCTTGGGCTGTACATTATAGTTTTAT